TGGTCTGTCTACCACCGAGGATATTTTACATCAGCACAGTTGTCAGCGCGAGCCGGGTGCGGAATTCGTATCGACCAGCCATCGCTACGATTCGAACCAGGTTAATCTCATTGAGAAGCGAGCACTCTGTCCCCTAAGCCACTACAGCTTCTAGTTATCAATTTTATTTTATTTTATAGCAGTCGTTGCACAGCCGACCCAATTTCGGGTTTACGTCTACCAATGTTTAACCCATAGACTTGTAAGTTCAAACCCAATCCAGGAAACAAGGGAACTCCTGGATCAAGTATTGGGAGAAAATTAATTTCGTGGAGGACTTTTTGATGGAGCTTACCAACATTTGCGTTACATAGTGAGGAAAACCACAAAACCTCCCACGATTAGCCTGACGGCAAGGGGACTCTAACACATGATCTGTCTACCTCTGAGGATATTTTACGTCAGCACTGTGGTCCGGATGCGGAATTCGTATCGACCAGCCATTGCTGGGATTCGAACCCGGTTCACCTCATTGGAAGGCAAACTCTCTATCCCCTGAGCCAACAAGACTCCTAGTTATCAATTTTTAAAAAAATCTCTGTTTTAATTATAAATTAATGTTTTCCATAAAAATATGATGTCCTTCAAATCGTAAAAATTTCGAGGATGATTTGTCCTCAAATCATGGTTAATAAATCTGGCTACCTTACTTTGGTCACCATTTGCCGAAACTTTCAAATTGTGCTAACATTTAAGCTATGGAAAATAGTCCAAACCAATTGTCACTAAAAGAACGATTGTATACATAGAATTAGATTAGAAGAGTTTCAATAACATTGTCTAACCACTGGTATAAGATTAAAATTGAAAAATAGCGTGATGTAATTTGAAATATCGATATTTCCTGACAATGGAACAAATCTCAGTACAACTGAGGACTTATAAACTCTTTAAGATCTTCTTTTCAAATATTTGCAACTTATTAAATCGATAGAAATTGTAGTTTGATTTTGTATACGCGCAAAGCGTAACAAAAAAATTTAATTTAAGGATTTGATGTCTCTTCATAGTCAACAAAGATAGATATCAAATACAATAATATTGCATGCATTATTAATAACGATTGTTGTCAAATGCGTTATTGTTATTAGTTTTAGTAACTTTCATTTGGCTGACGAAAGTATTGACCAATGTGAAAATAAAGTAAACATCAAAATCGGAAAAATATCGATATTTCTTGAAAGATAATCTTCCTTTCTTTCAAAATAGTTGCAATTTATAAATTACATGAAAGTGGAGTTTGATTTTGTAAATACGCAGGGCGTGATAATTCATTTTTAAAAAAAAGAATTTCATTTTTCCTTATCATGGTTTCACAAAAAGCCCATTTATTACAGACGAATTTACTTCATCTATTTTTATCCCTTCTACAAAGCTTAAACTTCTAAATAAGAAATAAAAATTAAAATCCTTTATTCTAGCAAAATCACTCTCGAACATTAGAAGGCTGCTTAGCAACGTTTTACTTCGAAATTAACAGGTGTGGCTCTCTTTTCAACACTGGCTCAATCAACCACGCTATTTACAACTGTCACGTCTAGCTTCAGATTATAACAACGTTGCAATTAGTGATATTTGAAAAACGTATATTTATGGTTGTGTATTTTAGTTTATCTATTTTTAGATGCCTATCAAACCAATGCGTTAATACTGGCCTTGTGTTGTGACCTTTATATTTAATGGGCTTTTTTTATATATATAAAAAAGAAATAATCTGTTAACTTCAGATTAGGAAAAGTTGAATAATAGTGCCATAAACAGACGCGCTTAAATAAAAATAATAGAAATTTTGATTGGCAATGAAATTTACTTGCGCCATTTAAGAAGTAATTTTAATGAACTTCAGATTAATGGATCATTTCAGACGAAATTAGAGAGATCTAATCGGAAACTGGAGAATATTTTGATTGGCGAAAGCTTCTATTTGGCATAATAATTCCGATTACAAATAAACAAAATGAACTCCAGTTGAATCATTAATACTACTATATTAAGCATTTGTACTATATACAGGGTTATTCATAATTCCCTCCGGGGTTTCGAAGCGTTATAGTAAAAAAACGAAGACGAATATGGCAAAAAAGAACATATCAAATTATTCCGGAAGTATTCAAGTTTTAATTTAAGCAGTTGCCGGTAGATGGCAGTAACATGTACCGCTGAAGCCAGTTGTAGTAAAGAAAAATGGCATTTACAGGCGGAGGGAATTATGAATAACCCTGTTTAAATAATATAATAATTATACAAAATAAAGAAATATTAAATCGTATGTTTTTGAAGCATGTTAAAAAGGAAGGAATAAAAGTTATTTTTGTAAACATATAACAAAACAAAACAAAAACCAAAAAAAAAAAAAAAAAAAAAAAAAAAAAAAAAAAAAAAAAAAAAAAAAAAAAAAAAAAAAAAAANAAAAAAAAAAAAAAAAAAAAAAAAAAAAAAAGAAGAAGAAGAAGGAGAAAAAAAAAGAAGAAAAAAAAGCGCGTCAAGTTTGAAAGACGTGAGAGGAGTTCAGTGATGTAAGAAATTTATATGAAAATGATGCTGCTTCCGTTTAGGTTTGGCAAATATCAAAGTATTTTTCACCTTTTGAGAACGCAATTTTTAAAACTATTATTTTATTTTATTACTTTACTGTTTTTATTCTTGCGTCTTTTAATTTGTGTGTGTCGGAAAGTGGTCGACATTTTGATGGAGAAAAATTTTACTTCTACCATTTGGGAAAAAAATTATAATGGTATCAAATGGTTGAAAAGGTAGAAATGACGGAAAATGGTTGAAGTTTTTTGATTAACGATAAATTAATTCTATTTGGCGACGTAATTCTGATGGCTGCGATCTGTAAACAAGAGAAACTTGTCGCCCACAATTGAAAGATCCATTTAAGTTTTGGGCACTGTAACGTGTCGAAAAGTGGACAAAATTTGACGATTAATTCTTTCGGGGATTTATATCTGTAGCAGTCAGGAAATGATTGCAAATAATTTCCTGTTCAGTTTTAGACACTGTTACATATCAGTAAATAGTCGAAATTTTCATTAACTCTTTGGCGTTATAATTCTGCTTCTAGCGGTGAAGAAAATATTTTAAATATATAAATTCGTATTGTTATCTAACAAACAGAAAATTTCATTTCAGTTTAGAGCACCGTAACTAGTCGGAAGGTGATGTAAATTTTGATTGATTTGATTGATGATAAGTTCTACCTGGCGATGCAGCTCAGCTTGTAACTACCTAGGAAACAATTAAAACTTGTATTATCATCCAGCAGAGAGTTTTAAATACTGTAACGGTTATCGGAAAGTGGGCGAAATTTTATTGACAATAATTTTTATTTATTTATTTTGGCGATATAATTTTGCTTGTATAGTGGTCGAGAAATGATTGAAACTTGCATCGTTAGTGTGCCTGGGATGTAGTCGATATTTAAGCGCTCTAGCCAATCTGGAAAGGGGGACAAAAATGGCAATTGCAAGGTTCAACCTTCACAGACACGAAAATGATTTAAGAAACAAAAACAAAAAAAATAACTGTTGTTATGAATACGTTCTGGAAAAAAAAATTTATGTATACAACTATCGTAACATCTAAAGTCGGTTTAAATTCAGTTATAAAATTGGCAAGTTTTTTAATGTATGTAATAACTTTCTTTAAGTACTCCACTCCGAGTAAGTGGTAAAAAAATGCTCAAGTTCACATGTTGGTTTTCTATGGGAACGGGGTTAAAAAGTGGCTATCTGGTCAATTGTGTTATAAAGTTTTCATTTCTTCCTTTTTTTAAACATTAAATAAAAGAAGCATTCAATATTTGCAGCCATTTTTATTGCAAAGATACTTTACACATCTTTGCAATGTACATGGGTAAAAAATCAATGGGTTAAATCTATGATTTACTCAAGCACTTTCTGTATTATGTCCTTCTCTTCCACAATATAAACATATGCTAATGTTTTATTAATAATTAATTACTATTTATTTATGACTTAGTGATGGTTTAATAAATTATTTATTACTTACGATAGTTTGATGGTTTTATTAATTACACTGGGTAGCAAATTTTTGGTTGCATTTACCTAATTCGGTTGTGGGGATTTCAATCTGCATTACTGTTCTCTTTAAGTGTCGTTTTTTAAATGAAATTTTTTGTCTATTTTTAGTTGAAATGATCAAGTTTAAAAACGTTATATTCGCGTAATGTTGCGACATACTTCTAGGGAAGTTAGGGCGCAACATCAGGATCAAAATTTTATCGGAACCCATACCAGGAAATGTCGTCGTACGAGCTGAGGGTGCTTCCTATTATGAACTTTTCAGAAGCACGCGAAAAAAGGTTCATAATAGGGGGAAGCACCCCTAGCGGCGTATGATGACATTTCCGGGAATCGCATCCTATGCAATTTTATTCCTAATGATGTGCCCTAGAACTTTTTCGCAACATTTATGCGAACCTCAGTTATATATAACGTTTTTAAACTTGCACGTGTCAGCAAAAAAAGAAAAGTAACTGTAGCTTGGAGTGCGAAACGGATTGCAGATTTGTAATCAGTGAAACAAAAGTGTCTAAGACCTATTCAAAAATATCATGCAAAAGGAAAAAAAAACTTTTTCCCAGTGTTATTAATATCTGATGATATTTTTTATGTATTTGTAAACTATTAGTTGCTAATGATATAATGGCTGTTTTATAAATTAATAGTTCTACTTAGTATGTAGTCTGGCGGTTTTCTAAATTATTAGTTACTAATAATTTATCTATTGATGGTTTTGTAAATTATTTGTTTACCAATTAATGTTATATTAGTGGTTTTATAGATTAATATTTAATACTAATTTATTGATGGTTTCCGATATTATTAGTTGTTGTTGATATATTGGTTGTTTTTTTACTATTAAATATTGATGATATATTGATCTTATAAATTGCAGTTCCTTAATTTCACTTATCTTTTTTTTTTTACTTACAGATGTGATCACATTTGTTCCCGATACATCTTAAGGACTTGCTTTTTTTGTAAAGAGAAAAATATGAAGCCACTTCAAAATATCACCATTCTAACAAACCCTCGTTTTCAATTTGTTCAGATGCTAAAAAAGAACTTCAGATATTGATTTCAACCATTCAAGATTTATTTTTAAAAGATATTCTGGCATAACATGATTTTCTTTCTTTCTTTTTTTTTGTCAGATTAATATCTCAGGAATTTATTCATCCATTCTTTATGTAAAATCCAATTACAATTGAACTGTTCAAATTTTATAAATAAATATATATTGAATTTACAGGTCAGGTTTTTATAAACATAACATTTGCATAAGACATATATGCGATTAAAAAAATTCATCCCAAAAAATTAGAAAAATGCCTGAAAGCAAAGTATAAAAATCTTTCTTCTTTTTCATTAATTTTTAAACAGCATCATGCATAGTTTGGGTGCACGAAATAGAAAAAATAAGTACTGCTAGTGTAGTCCTATACTACAACTTTATTATATGTAGCAAAAGTTATTCTTCAATATTTAATTTTATTTTCAGTATATTTATTTTTAAAATATTTTGATCACTCAAAAAAAAATATTTATTATGAATGTAAAAGTTCAGATAATCGATCGATAGTATTCCTAATAGTTTAGGTTGTATAATATGCAGTTTTCGTTATTTTAAACATCTATTTTTCCTACATTGTTGGTCGATGCATTTTTGTGGACGCTGTGACAATTTTCCCAAGCCCATGTCATACCAGCTCTCTTCAGTGTCCCACCTTCATTTCTCATCTCGATGGAGAACTAAATCACATTCAGTCCAAATGTCCTTTCAAATTAATGAACAGATGGTAGCCACTGGGTGCCTTGCCTAGTCGAGACTGTAGAGTGTGTTTAAGATGATATCTCTTTGAAACTGTTGCACGACAGCAACCGTTTGATAAAGGATGAGTGGAGAAGGCTTACGTTCTTACTCAACATCATCTGAGTTTTATCTGTTATTAGCAACCAGCAGACATTTATGTTTCACCGACGCTTTTCAAGGATATGGTAGGGAGCTAGTTGGACATGGCATGCAAAATCTGTCACAGCGTCTATAAAAATGTACTTGGTATTGGCCTATTTGGTGATTATGTTGAAAAATAGAAAAAATTTTTAACCTATAAAATGATTTAAACTTATAATACTGTACATGAGTTTCCAAAAAAAAAAATGGATATCTTACTTTCATGTACATGACGCTGCAACCAGTTAAATGAAAATGGATTTGAGAAGAATTATTTTGAATGTAAAGTCAATAATTTATTTTACATTCTAATGAATTATAGCATAAATTCAAGATTTATTTAGATTTAAAGGATTTTTGTTTCATGTGTTCTAGGAAAAAGATAAAAACAAATTATGACAAATCTCGTAATCAATTTCTTGCATAGAAAAAACGTGAATTAATTATAGTAATATATATATTCTCAGATTTGATATTTTCTTATAATGATTTTTTCCTTAAAAATTAAACTGATAGCTAAAAAGAAAAAACTTTCATTAGGCCTAATCACAAATTCACTGCTACTTTTTAATCCTTCTAATTTTTCTTTTTTGTGGCTTTGCGCTATCTTGCAATAGGAAATGTTTTTATTCTTTTAATTTTATTGAAGATGAAAACAAGTTTTCAGGTGCCATGTTGTAAAAGAAAAATTGCTATTAGAATTGCTATTAGAAAAATTGCTTTCAATATTGTAGCTCGATAAATCTATTGCTTTTGTTTTTGAGTTTCTGAAAGTCTTACGGTTCTCATAAATTTTAAATATCTTTAATTAATTCTATTTTTAAAAATTAGAAAAATGATTTATAGTTTGAACATTTTGTATTCTAAGAAACTGACAAATATATAGATGGTTTATGAATAAAACTGAATTATTATTTAATCTCTTGTTTTGTCTCTGTAAGTGTTATATGTTATTTGAATTGTGAAAATAAAATACTTAATTCTAGGTTGAAGTTATTTTTGTTATTATATTACTCGATCCTCGAACCAGTAGAACAATCCTTTTTATCTTCAGATTTAAAGGGATTAGACACACATTCAACTGCAAAAGAATTTTAGTAGTTTCAGAAAATAATATTCTAAGTTGTATTATTAGTAATGTAATAATATTTTAATAAAAGAAAATTAAACATTTTTTGTGTACCACTCTAAAAAAATAGTTGAAACGTATTTATAAAAAGGTCATAATATCATAGGTTCTGTTCTTAACTTCTGTTATTAGTTACATTAAAATTTTATTTATTTATTTAGTTAACCACTGGAAGAAATATTTCGCAAAAATCTCAGTGAAAATCTCAATTTTTCTTTCCTTTTTTAAAAAATAACTTAATAAAAAAAATATTTTAATAGTTTGAAATGTGGGCAGAAAAACAATCCAAATGCTCGAATTTTGAATTGCTGCTCGCAACTTATTTTGTCCCCCGCAAAACTTCAAAATTGTTTTCTATGAAGCATGTTTTCGATAGTTGTTTCCTTAAAATGATTTAAATAGGCCAAATTCGCATAAAAATTGTACTCATTTTTCCGGAATCGCTAAAAATTTAACTATGTATTTAAAATAATATCTTAAGATTATTTCATTTTAGAAGCAAAGGTTTTTATCTTTTTCTTCAATAACCAATTTTTGGGTAGTATTTGTAAAAAATTTTCATATTTAAATTTTCACAAAAACTGGAAAAACCCTACATATAGGGTAAACTAACCAGTAAAGGAACACTTAAGCTTCGCTTGCCTTTTAAAAAAAATCATATTAATTTCAAAATTCGTAATTTTAATTAAATGACAGTGTCAACATACACTGGTTATCATAAATTAAGGAAAATTCACAAAAATCGCGATAACTCTTTCAATTGTAANAGTAAGAAGACCAAGTGAAGGAACCACCAGTGAATGAACACCCAGTAAAGGAATTTTGGTTATTTTTTAATGCTCTTTATGAATTTATAAGCCATATGAATATTTAAAAACAAGCCTACTCTTGAAATTACAACACATAAATAATTGGAAAAGTTAACTTTTTTTTAATCATGAATTGAAAATTAAAGTGTCAACATATTAACACATACTGTTCATTCACTGGGAAATCTATGCCCAGTAAAGGAACATGCCTGTTCCCTCACTGGTTAGAAGTTGTTTTTCGTATTTTTAGCATGCTTTTGACGCGGAACATCTCTAAAGGTACAAGAAAATTAAAGTTTATCTTTTATTTTCATTAACTTAGAAAAAAAAACAGTAAAGGAACACTTGTTTCTTCACTGGTTTTTCATCGTTTGATGATCCAGTGAATAAACACCCCCTTATCTCAGTACTTTATTATGCTATGATGCTTAAAAAAAATAAAACGTAACTTCAATAACTATATTTTGAATTCTCTTTTTCACAGTGAGAAAAATAAAACTATAACATGCAATTAATTCCACTCCAAGCATATAAATACAAACCCTCACCTTATAATTTTTTCAAAGAAACAATGTGTTGCAGAGATAATATCAAATTCAAAAATTTTTCCAAAGTCTATTTGACCAGGTAATCCAAAACATTGCTAGATGACTTCCTATTGTTTGGCAGTAAGCTATTGTTACCAATCAATCTGAAGAAAAACTTTCAAATTCTTATTTTTAATCAATATATATGAAATGTTCCTTCACTGGGTAGTTAGTGTTCCTTCACTAGTTGGTTTACCCTAGTCACACTTCCACTAAAAAGACTGGATGACAGTGTTTGTGGAATAACAAACACTGTCATCCTTGGTTCTTACTTTTTTTAAGAGAACACTACCCAGAGTCTACAGACATGTTATGAATCAATGTTGATGAACTATGTTATTCCCTATCTGCAACTGTCAAATGTTCTCTCTGATGTGGTGTGAATGTAGGATGGTTCTGCCCGACATAAGAGGTCTTCTGTTAGGCGTTTGCAAATAATGCAGCAATATTGGATAAAGAAAAAATTATTTCTTGTTTCCACGGCCAATAAGGTTTCCCTACCTCCAATAGATTTATGGCTATGAGGATACTTAAAATCCACAGTATACTCGTGAAATCCAACAACTTTGTCTGAATTAAAAGATGATATCAAAAGTGCAATTTAGAAAAATCCTCTTCACGTGGTTCGTGCTGCAACGCTATCCGCTATTTCCACATGCAAAGTGTGATCGTTTGTGCAGGCGAACATGTCAAAAATTTATAAAACATAAAATACTCTCTTTGTAATCTGTTCTCTGTTTTTAAAAGTCTTACCACACTTTCCTCTTGTTAGTGATCACGAAAAAGGGCAGAGTTTGGCAAAGACCTAGCGCCACAGTTTCTAATACTAAAAATATCTAAAGATCTTGCTTCAGTAAAAAAAATGGGTGTTGCCAATTGAATATTTCAAAACTTTTTAACTGTGGAAGCTAAGCAATCATTTATGCATAATTTTTTAACACAATATAATGCCTAAATACAAAATTTTACTAATCTCTCCCAAACATTTATCTCTAGAAAGTTATATGTTGGCAAAAAAAAAATTTTTTTTATATGTAGTGATGTTCAAACTCATCGTATAATCAATTTATAAATTCAGGAAATGGAAAACAAATCATAAATTTTGCTTCCACTTAAAACAAAAAAGAGAACCTTTTGAAGAATTTGCATAAGTTGACAGCCGAGAATAAAGGAAAATATGCAAAAAGTAAAAATAAGGGATCTAAACTTCAGACTGTTCTCCTGACTGAAATAATAAGACCAGAATTTCCAGATAAATTTGAGGGTAAAAAAGCCTGATACAACAGCGAAGAAAAAGCATAAATATTAAGATTATGCAGTAACTTACATACTGAAATTAAAATATATATAGATATACTAATTCTTTTCTAATTTGATTTTTACTAGAAAATATCAGATTTTAGGGATTTTAGGGAATCCTAAATTTGGAAATAGAAAGAACAATATTATTAATCAGCATAAAGAAAAATATGCTTAACAAAAATATTAGCCTCTTAAATTTTCAAAACTTCAATATCAACAATTCCCATAAAATAAAGAGAAATAATACACTGATTTGATAACCCAACTGATGAAATAATACTAAAATAGTAGGAAAGTAATATTATTATTATGATTATAACAAAATAGCATTTAAAATATTTCTTTTCTATTACAGAGAATTTCTTGTCCTACTTCATTTAGAAGAAGTCATATAAAATATTTTCAGCAAATATATGTTTACATGAAATAAATTATATTAATAATTCACTCAACTCTTTGTTGTTATTTTATTACAAACAATAACATAGTTGAGTTTTAATCATAATTTCATATGTCTTAAACTGGAAGAAAATAAATAAGCTACAATAACTTTATAGTTGGCGGCTTTTATTTTGATACAATTTTGTATTTTTAAATACAATATATGACTACTACCACTGTAGCTAAAATCAAAAAAATATATTTGCTTATTTTACAAATGTACATACAAAGCTATATTGCTGCAATCAAATATCATATAGACTTTATATGAATAAAAATTTTGCATATAAATAAAAATAAGAAACAATAAATGGAAACACAAAAATTTCATCAACATTTCATCTCTCCTGTAAATTAAGACTGCCTCAACTTTGCCAATCTTTGAGTTAATTCATCCTAGAAATTAATAAAATAACATTAATTGTTTGCAAATGAGATAGAAATAAAGTGTGAACAATATATAATACTGATAAGTTTCATTGAAAGAAAATTTACATAGTTATCTCATGAAATTTTCTTAGATAAATCATTTTAAGTGTCTAAATTGGCAACTAAACTTCTATATTTTCAGAATTTTCAACATATTTTTCCAAGATTTTCAGAGGGTTACTTAACATAGTTTTTCACAATAGAAGAGACAGAAAATATGTTAAATTAAGCAATTTTTGAGTTTAAATGTTGACTGTATATATAGTACAGAATGAAATCTTATTAAATTATGTATGTCTTCAAATAATGCTGTTTTTAAGAGATAAAAATGCTTTCTAAAACGGTTCCTGCAGTTTCTATACATTTATTAATTTATTCATTTCTATACATTAAAAAACTTACAGTTTCAAATTTATAAAAATATCAATCAAAATGTCTTTTAATGAGCTTTTCATGTTGACTATGCATACTTCTTAACTATAGTTATTAATCATGCAAAAAACTGCCACAGTTTTTAACAACTTACTCTTCTTTTATTCAATTTTGGAAAATTAAGTTATGTTAATTAATATTAACCTAATTATATAAAATAATTTTTGTTAAGTCTCATTGAGTGCTCAGATACATATTATACTAAGTACATCTTTTAACAAAGCAACATGTTTAGTGTTTTTAAAATGAAACCCCTTATTTTTAAAAATGAGCATATCTCTATAAAACTGTCTCAGTTCACATTTAAAAGACAGATAAATTCCATGCATTTAAAATATTTAAACCTGTATACATTTAAAAAAATAGATATGTTGCATAGATTTAAAAGGAAGATAAACTACATGAATGCAATTCACTATCAAATAACAAAGCATAATCTGAACTAAATAGAAAAAGTTCTATGCTTTTCACAGTAATTTAAAAGAAAAACAGAATTTGAGAATGATCTTTCTTTCTATATTTATTTTTCTTTTTAATGTTAGAAAACTAGAATTTTTTTGTGTGTACATTTACAAGACATTTTATGCTGATACAAGAAATTTCAGCTTTATAAAAAATGTATTAAAAATTTATGGGAATATAAATTCATTATATAAAGTTATCTTTGGTTTTGCATTTTTTTAAACAATTCCTTCTGTTACAAATACCATCTGGAACAAACACAAGAAATGCATTTAAAAATATACATTTTAAGAGGCAATGGCAAAAAAATTTATACATATTTTAAAAAAAACAAATGTTACAAAGTTTACAGCAAATTCAAACTATAAACTAATGATGGCATCATTTACAGTAACATTGGTGACCTTATTTGTGATAAAACTTAGAAGAAAAAAAAACAATTATAAAATTTCTGATAAAGTAAAAGTTTTTTAACTATCAGCTATAAACATTGTAGATAGACAGGGTTGACAGTATTTTGACCATTCAAGAACGCAAGTTATGCATCCCTACTAATATGTACTTAAAAATTGTTCTAATAAATATCATGACAAATATTTTTAAGTTATTACTAGGCATAGCATTCCAAAACAATCTGATCTGTATAATAAAATATGTAGCAAATAGGGAGATGATAAAGTTCATGAAGGTTAATTACTTGTTCATGAGAAGCTGCAGTAGCTGAGGCAGTGGAAAGTGTTCCTGTTCCTCCTTCTGGAAGCTGCATATCCAATTCAATGCTAAAAAAGACAAACAAATGTAAACCAACATGTAATATTAAACATTTTACATAATTAATAATATGCATTACAATTACAATATTCTATAACTTATTGATGACACATATTATAATTACTATGCATTTTATGTTTAGATTAATATTTTTCTTAAGTTTACAAATATACTTCATATCGTTGTCCGCAAAAAAAATTAATATTTATTAAAAATTCATTCAAAGTATGAAACCTATTACTTTCTTTAAAAAGCCAGCACATGCAGTAAATTTTTTAAAATCGTTAGTATAACTAAAAGGCTCGTACAGACTAAACTAATATTCACATAGGTTGAAAAAATGAAAATATAGGAAATGCTAAAAAATCAAATTTTAAAAAAAAAAACTTCATAAAAAATCACAAATCACAGTTCATACATCTGATAAATAAAATCATATCTTAATAAATAAATTCCAATCGAAAAGTAATTAATAATTATCTAAAATATATAAATATATAGATATGTGCTAAATTATATTTCCCAACATGCCCAGGTAATGCAAAAATTTCGAAGGAACAAGCATCATTTACAATTGGGAAGACCACACACTGAGGAAGAAAGCGGTAAGAAAGAGGCATGCAGGTGAAGAATTCCTATACTTTTGCATAAGGATGTGCAGGGGTGATGTGCGCATGGGAATGTGTTGCATGTATGCATCTTCTTTACTGCTTGCTTCTTCAGTGTGTGACCAACCTTTCATAATGAGTAAAGCATTTAAATATTTAATAAGTTGAAATTCTCACATCTGTCTGTTTTTGTTCAAAAAGTTTGTAAAAAAAAATTACTTGTTTGTAGGTAGTTTAATTTTTATTTGTTTAATTTTTAGTTTAATTTTTTTTGTTGTAATTTATAAACAAAATTTGCGCTTGAATTTTTTTGGACTTTTGAAGAGAAAGTGTTCATATTAAGTGAAGTTTATAGATTAGTGAGCTCAGTTTTTATTAAAACATTTTTTTTAGATATTTAAAGATGTATTTGCAGCCCCAAACAGAAAACACAATTTTAATTTGATAACATAGTTTAATTTTTTAAAAATTGAAAAGCATCTATTTTTTTTTAGGTCTTAATACTTATTTCCCACTTAATAGTAACACTTCTAATATGTAAATCAGAGCTATTGTAAGTTATGGACATGAAAAACTGAAAGATATAAATTGAGCTCTAATTTATCTCATGGTGCATATTGCGCTGTTGCTAGAATAATTGAAATCATATTAATATTAGTTAAAAATGAGACAGACCACAGTTCTTATCTTAAATAAGGGAACAAACAAGTAAAATTTAGATAAATGGGCTAAAAGCCTATTCTGCTTCAGCAAATGTTTATTTATATTTGTATTGAAATTTGAAAAATAAAATATATTAAAAAAAGATCTTTACTATTCTACCTGTTACTATAGCATTATTACCTATCACCATAGCTTCATTACCTGTTACCATAGCGAATTAAGTGAATAAGGGCCAATTAGCGCAATGATCTATGAAAAAAATATTTTCTGCAGAAAATTTAAAATACTAAGTGAAACAGTTAATAATAAAATAAGCTTCTATAAATTTAATGACATAGAGATGACATAGACAATTGGAGATTATAAAAGAATTTTTAAAAAAACAGGAAATAGCTCAACTAAATAGCCTGTCTACATGAGGAAAATAAACATAGTTCACTAAATAACAAAACCATTACTGATGAAAGGCATCTTTTACAAATGGTAGAAAAAGAATGCACCAGAAAATCATTGAACATGTTTTTGCAGTTTGCAAAAGATTTAAGAATTTCATAGACTTTTATAAATTGGGAAAAAAATATTAAAGAAAATAAAGGGATCATTGGACCCTTTTATTTTCTATGATAAATAAAAGTTTTTAATAACTAAAGGTTATTAAAAACTTATAGTAATCTCATAGTCTAAACTGAAACCAGTAGAAATTAATTATGAAAAACTCTAGAAATAAGATGTAACAGAAAAAAAAAATTAAACATTTACCCAGCTTCATCAGCAACTTGTTTCATGAGATGTTCAACATCATTTTGTGGAACAGACACAGTTGTGGTTGAACTCATTGTGTTCTCCATATAAGATGATTGAACATCCAAGTCTTCAAATTGTTTTTCAAATCTATCCATCAGATTAGAGATCTACATTTCAGAACAAAAAAATTATCAAAAATCAAGAACTACAAACTATCAAAAATCACAATTTTTTTAATAAAAAAATTAAGAAAATATTAATTAAGAAAATATTATATGCTAATTAAGAAAATGTTATATCCAAATGTATTAAAACATCTAACAATAACAAAATAATACATAAATTAAAGTTATTCAAATTGACTACATTTATGATTAAGAATCAATCAAACAAAAAATCAAATATCATTAATTTTGCTTTGAGTAAAACTTCCTGTACTGCAACTTCTAGAATGAATATTTTTTAGAACTTCATGAATTAAAAAAGTTTTTGCATAATCATAGGTTATAATAATTCTTAAAATTGGGAATCAAAATACTTCAAAAATGTTAAATTTTCAAGAGAGAAGAGCAATTTTTTGGAGCCAATGAATCATAGAATGAAACAAAAAATAACAGCTTACTGTTTTTTCATTATATTTGCATAAATTGGACCCCAGCCACAAGTTTTTTAGTCGCCTAGGATTTACACACTTTACGTTATAAGTTTTTTCACATATATTTAAAAAAAAAAACCTATAGCTTAAGAAATATTTAAGCTTAAGAAAAGCTTACTTTATCCAGCTTAAGAAAATCAACAAAAATTTGAGGGTTTATTTAAAATGGTACTCCAGCCAAAAACTGTTGCAATTGTTCTACTTAATTTTAAGTTGGAGTAGGTCCTCTTACAAGCAGAAAGAAAATAAGAGCAGTATTGAAAAAGGAATCCGCTTAATTTGAAAGCGAAAAAAAAAAAAAAGAAATGCCTGAAACTTAAAAAGAATAAATTTTTTGCTCTATATTTCCAATTTTTACTAGTTGCTTATCATTAGAACCAAGAAATTTCACGTTTTGTCACAGATGCCACAGTAGCAGGAAGCTAAGAAGAGCATAGTGGAAGACAGCAGGACAAAACTAAGAGAACTGGGGGAAAAATCGTAATCTGTAAGAAGTAAAACAATGAGAAGATTCTTGTAAACAAGACACAACAATGACAAGATTTTTGTTGTTTTCTTTCGCACTGTACCTTAATTTTATTTAAAGTATATCCAAAATGTATATCAGAAAAAAAATCTAAAACAATTTACTTTCTCAAGATTCATGCTTTTCATAGCTGCATCCATAGATTTCACAACTCCAGCCATGGATGTNTGTAAGATAACAAAAATTGAAAATGTATCACAAACATTAACGGGAAAATGGCCGCCCGCACGGACGTCGGATTCGAGAAATTCGTTGTCCGTGGAGAATTTTTGACCGTCGAGGACGGGCTGTTTTTCGAGCCCTGGTATATCCAAAATGTATATCAGAAAAAAAAACTAAAACAATTTACTTTCTCAAGATTCATGCTTTTCATAGCTGCATCCATAGATTTCACAACTCCAGCCATGGATGTGGTTACTTTTTTGGTTGTAACTGCAGTCTGAACTCTGCTGGCAACGCCATCAACTCTTGACGCCATCCTCAAATAATTAAGGGCTTGGTTATGTTGACGGATAGAATTTTCAGCATGAATACGAGCTCCTTCCATATTATTTTTTTGAATTGCCTAAAATATAGTTTACATTAATTAAGTACATTAACATTAATTAAGGACATTAATTAATCAAATTCACTACATTCAAACCCAGTTGCACCATAATAAGTTAAAGGGAAAGCAATTTTATTTCTTTAACAGAGATAAGGAGCATTAATAAACTTAGTAGTCACTTTTAAAAATAATTAAAAATAATTTTCTAAATGTGTAACAGTTTTCAAAACAAATTATAGAAAATTAAATAGATTAAATAAGGTTTTTCATTATTATATAATAATATTCAATATAAAATACATTAAAAACAATAGCCTCTTATATAAAAATGAATTATAAGGAATATATAAGGATCTTTTAGAAAAATTATTTTCCTATCTTAAAATATGACTGTCACTTATTTTTTGGAACTTCCACAGCTAATTGCATCATAAATTTCGTATAATAATTGTGCAGTAAATATTATGTTAAAACAATTAGATAATTTACCTAATTGTTTGAATGCAATATTTATTGGTTACCTTCATAAAAAAGCATCTTCACAGTTTTCCAAAATTAAAATCAATAACTTTAAAATGAAATAATTAAATGAAATAATAACTAATTAAAATCAATAAAATATAAAATGAAATCTAATAAAATAATATTAATGATAAATTCAAACAATTAATAAAATCAAACACTTAAAAAAATTCAGATATTTTTTGTTACAATGCCGTCTGTTTTTAAACTAAAAGGAACAGAAGTTTTAATAGTATGTAAGAAATACAATAATTCTTACTAAAACTGATTAAAAAATACACTTAACATAACAATATTAATTTAATTAAAAATAATTTAGCTCATAATTGATAAAAGTTTAGTACAGTAAAAAAATTCAGTGGAAAAAACTATCCATACAAGTGTTGAAAAAAATTCATTCATTCATTAAGCATTCATAAATGCATTCATTAATAAATGTATTGCATTCTTCGTATATTAAGATATTAAGGAATGAATTTTTAATTCAACTCACTCAAAGTATTTAATAACATAAAAAACTAAACCTGTTTAAAAAAATGAAAACTTGGTTATAATTTGTTTATATTTATTTATTGTTACTATTTTTTTTTTCTTTTACTTGTTACATAATAAAGATCACATCAAATGAGATAAAAATAAAATATTTCAAATGGTCAAAATACCCCAAAAATTTAATTACAAATTTATTTAATATAATTTTAAAATAATGTCTGGTGAATGGGCCTCCAACTTCAATTATACTTAAACTCAAATTAGAGCTACACCAAATTTTTATTGGGGACTTTTTTTATGTACATACTAAATAATAACATTGATACTAACAGCTTAGGAATCCATGATAAAAAAAATTTCACATACAATGAAGAAATTTAAAAGATAAAGCATTAATAATAACTTATTTAAAAAAAAATGGGACAAAAATAGAATATATAATTAAAATTATAAGAAATAGCAACAGAGTAAAGGCAATTAAGTCAAATACTTTACAGTCTTATTACATTTGACATTAAATATGTTATGGTCATAAAACTGCTTTAATGTAAACAATATACATAGTAGAAAGTAGATTATCTAAAGTAATTGAGACTAGACCTACTTTAGATAGTTCAAATGTTTGGATTTAAAAGGCAAAACAGTTTTTCATTTCCCTTCAACAATTAACTTTGTAAATTGGTAGATTTTTTTTTAATAATAGTATAATTATATAGTTATTGTGTAGTTATTTAAAATTATTTTTAAAAAGTCTGCAAGGATATACCCCTATTACATTAGTGATAAATTTCCTTAAAAAAAAGCATAATATTTAATTTTATCTTATTCAGTATTACAGAACAACCTAATAAGAATATCTAATGATGCAAAATCCTTGAATAACGATACAAAATTTTAGATTACAAATCTTAAAAACATAAAAAAGGCAACAAAAACATTTGATCATATTGACTTAACCCCAATAGTTTAGATTCAATTTGAACTTCAATTTAATTGAAAAAATAAGATTTTATTGTATATCACATGAGTATTGGTATGGTACAATACAAAACACTTTTTTTTGTTATGATTAAATAAAAAATAAAACTTTTCATTTTTTTTTGCAATGAGTCTCATATAAACACTATTTTTATTAAAACATGTAAGCAACAGCTTACCCTCTTTAATTTCAATTTCTCAGCTTTTTCTTCTTTTTCACATCGCTTAGAATTTCTTTCCATTTCTTTAGCGGCAAACTTCAGATTAAATAAGTGTTCTACATGTGTTAAGCATCAATAATTCTAGTCATCAACATTTTTTATTTTGCTCAAAAAATAAATAACTAATTAAAATACATTAGTTTGAATGTGCAGATGATGTTGCAATATTAATAAGAAAAATTTCTTAAATAAAATAAAGCTACGAATTTATATCTTTGAAGTAAATTTGAAATCAAAATGCTAGTGAAAAAAAAAAATAAAAAAAGATTTTTTTTTTATTTTTTTATTATAGTATTTTGTAACCATTAGATGACATCAATAGGTATACATATAAAAAAAATCTGAAAATAGCATAAATCAGATAAAAATAAGTGCTTCAAACAGGCATGAGATGGCAAAAGAGGAAAGGGACATGAAAAAGCACCAAAAAAAAGAAAGAAAGAAAGAAAGGAGACTGTTTTGTGTGCAAATTTATTTAAAAATAATTATGGTATAATGCTGCTTCATGGGGTAAAAAAGTACCAAATTAAATACTACATAATAACATACAATGTTTGTTTTTTTTAAAACTTTTTAACGATTTATCATTAAAAGATCAAAAGGTATGGAAATATAGCCTTTGAAACATGTTCTAATTATCTTGGAACAATGGAATGGTACTGGTGTTGAGTTTTAATTAAATAAGATTAAATAATGCAAAAAAAAATTAATAATAATGTTAAAGAGTTAAATAGAAAAACCTTTATGAAAATCTCAGTTTAATTGACACAACATATAAATTTACAAAAATTAATACTTATATGACACACAAAAATGCCACGTTGAAAAATCATAACTGTTAGCACCTTATCTCAATTTTTATAAATCTATGAAAATAAAAAAATTTTCGATTAGATTTTATAAAGATTGTTAGGATTATTAGGCTTCATAAAGAGCATAGTAGAAAAAGTTTGGCTGAGTGGTAATTTTTCAACATCCAAAGAACTATAACTAAAATCTGGAAAATACAATTTTTTTAAAAAAAAATTAAAAAAGAGGAAAATGTTTTTTTAAAAAATTTGAAAAGTATTCTTATGCCTGATTTCAATAATAGTTGACCTCACAAATGGAAAAAAATTCAGTAGTATTTAAAAAACAACATAAATTTCCTCCAAACAAACAATTGTAATTCAAAACAAAAAATTACAATATAGTATGCAATGCAACTTATAGTAGATTGCACAAATGTTTTTAAAACAAATATAGGAAAATAAAATACAAAAATTACACTACATACATACCAAAATAGCCTTGAATGTAAATTTTTTTATGAAGTTTATTTTCAACTTAAACTAATATTAAACTTAAACTTATTTCAACTTAAATAATCTAAATTCAACTTAGACAGTTATAACTTATTCTTGAATAAAATATCAAGTTATAACTTATTCTTGAATAAATATCATGATAACAAAAAGGAATATTTTTTTAAATGATTTAAAAATAAAAATTTCTCAATAAAAAATTAAACTTAGTGGGAAAAAGTTTATAACTCGTAACTATAAATAATGCCAACTTCATTAAGTAGTAAAATCACATTTACATGCCCAAGCAAACTAAAAGCTGATAGCTGAGTATAAAATTTATTTTGATAGGGATTTTTCAGGGGCATTCCTAATATTAGGGAATTTCTTAAAATCTACAAAAAAACGAGAATTTTTGATTAAACTAAAAGATAAAAAGAAACTGGTAAAACCCAGTAGTGTATAAGTAAATCCTTAAAATTAGACAGTCATGTTTCAATATCAGGGAAATTATTTTTAAAAGCATAAAAAGGATACTTTCCATAGCAGATGTCATCTTCGCAAAATATCTTGAAATCAAAGATTCCTAAAAATATTTCTAAAAATAAACATGTTAATGAAATATGTTAAATGAAAGATACAAGAAATGTGTTATGAAATTATCAACAATGTATCATATAAAAATTTGGATAAAAGTAGACAGAATAAAATTATTTCAGAATAAATTTTTACAACAAATAGCAACAGTGTGAGGACAGTTAAGTCAAATAGTAAACAATCATATCATATTTTACAAAAAATGATTATTATTGTAAAAAATTAAAACAATGTGTATGGTAGATATAGTACTACAACTAGGCACATTAAAAACACTTGTTAAGAAATCTTAATGATTTGTCTTATACTATGAATTGCCTAGTTCTAACATTGACTGCTAGGTTGTGCACACTATTAGTTGTATGGTTATCTTAGTTATAAAATTTCAAAGCTACAACTAGATAACCTCATTAAAAAAAATGCATACCAAACTTGGAAATTAAAACACAGTGAGTTATCTAGTTATAGTACTATATCTAGAAAACTCATTAATTAATAATAAAAATAGTTTTTAAAATCATGTCCGGTGCCTCGGCCAATTTCAGTTGTACTTAAACTGAAATTAGGGCTACACCAAATTTTTATAGGGGATTTTTTCATATATATATGAAATAATAACATTGATACAAACAGCTTAGGCATCCATGATAAAATTTTCCCCATACAATGAAGAAATTAAAAAAAAATAAAGCATTAATAATACCGTATTTAAAAAATTGGAACAAAAATAGAATATGTAGTTAAAGTTATAGCAACAGTGTAGAGGCAATTAAGTCAAATACTTAACAATCTTATCATATTTGACATTAAATATGCCATGGTCATAAGACTGCATCTGAAATGTAAGCAAAATATATAGTAAAAATTAGATTATCTAAATCAGAACTACTTTGAATAATTCAAATGTTTGGACTTAAAAGGTAATATAGTTTTTCATTCCTTTTCAACAATTAACTCTGGAAATGGTAGAAGTTTTTTTTTTTTTTTTTTTTTTTTTTTTTTNTATTTTTTTTTTTTTTTTGGGGGGGGGGGTTACAATAATATACAGTTAACTCAAATATAATTTTTCCAAAGTCATTTAATAAATTAGTGTGTAGAAGTTCACAGAAATTATTTAGAAAAATAACATTTTTGTATTTTTTGAAAGAAAAATATTAATATTTAATTATTAAAAAAGTTTCATTTACATAAGACCCATCTTCGTATTTTGTGAGTATTCTCATCAGCCGCTTGTAAACGGTTGGACAAGTATACTCGTCAATCAATAATGAAAAACCGAATAAAACAACAAAACTTATTTAAATATTTATTTAGCAAATCAATAAAATAAATAACCAATTAACAAAATGATTATTTGCTATTCACATAAAATGATCAACTTTATTTAGTCCTACAGTACAAAGATAGCTTCTTTATTTTGAAGGCTTCGTGTAAAGCTGAATTAAGAGAGCATATAATTCACGTTAAGAAAAGAAAAAAAAACTAAAGGCTCATAAAAAAATAAAAACTTTGGAATCTGTTTCAGTTAACAGAACTATTCAAATGAAAAAGGTTCAGATAAACAAAGTACAATTGCCGATAACATATAAATATTTATAGTTTTTAAAATCATGTTTGGTGCCTCGGCCAACTTCAGTGATATTCAAACTGAAATCAGGGCTATCACCAAATTTTTTATTGGGGAGTTCTTAGCAGCAACAATACTAATAGCTTAGGTATTCATGCATATTTCATCCCCATAATAAAAACTAAATGTACAAAACAAATGAAATATGCAATTGATATCAAAATAAAACATTAATCAATATAATTACTAAAAAATTTTGAATTACAAATGAAAAACAGTAACATCTACATAAAAATGAAGTACACAATCAATATCAAAATAAAGCATTAGTCATTAAAAATTAATAATCAATTTTATACATTACAAATTAAATACTGTACAATCGTAACTGTAAAAAAAATAATAACTTCAGTAATAAGTAATATAAGTGATATTACTTAAGTCAATAATATAAGCATTACAAGAAAAACGGTTACCTTATTACTTTATGATTTTGAAAAATCAAACTGGGTTCAACCTGCTGGAACTCCTGGTCATTAATTTATAGCAAATATTCCAAAGTGTGTTAACTGTAAATAAAATATAAAATAACTTGTTAAAAAGATAGAATTTTTGCACATTGTCATAAAATTAAATGTTGGGGTTAAGCTGGGTTTTTTTAAAATACTTCAGAATTGACATATAACATATGTATCTTCCATGACTTGCGTGCCTTGGATGTACAGTTTTCTCGATTTTTTCATTTGTAAAATATTGTTGGAGAACAGCGATTACAAAGAAGAAATGTTTCAACAATTTTAAAAGATGGAATATATATAAGCCACATCAATAAGCAAAAAAACACAAAGAGTAAACAGTATCTATTCGGAAACAATGCTAAGCAGCAATTTAATGTAAAAATGTTACTTCTGGAAAAAATGTGGTTTAGCAGTTAAGCTTTATATACAAGCTTTTCTTGCATACAAGTGATATTTTCAACAATATGGTTGCTATTATAGGGGCTTGCAAGATAACCTTTTTTCCTTTTTTTCTTTACTTATTTTTTTACTACATTTATTTATTTTTCAATTGTCAGTTTATTTATTTGTTTTAATAATCGACTTCTAGTCTTCAACTCCATCTAAAATTAAAAATCTAAAATACAATGTGTTATAAAATATTTCATTCCTTAGTACTTACTGACAATGTTCTAAAGCAGAAAGACATAAATGTAAGAGTTTGTTTAAGATGCTCTAGCTCACCCACTATATGCACCAGACCTTGCACCAGCAATTCAATTGTTGTAAAATTTCCTTAAAGAGAAAAAAAACTTCCGATCTTTTGCCAGAATAAAAATTCGTGTAGTCTTTCTCTTCTTCGTCGGAAAACCTGAGAGGTTCTAGTAGGACAAAGTTTTCAAATAGTCAAATGAAAAATGTAAACGAAACAAATTGGCATTTATGTAATTTAATAAGTATTCACCAAAATCCTCTTTCTAAAATTTGATGCACGCAATACGTACACACCAGAGTAAACAAACAGCAATAAAACCAAATTTATATATCATTCTTTTCTTATGATAAACTTAATTTTTTTGGAACCAGAGTGCTCTAACTCAAACGAAGTAAATTTTTTCGAGAATTTTATCGATAATTCGTACTTGATCATATTTATAAAGTAACTGCATTTTTCTTCTTTTTTTTATTTTTATTTATTTATTTGAGTAAATATGCAAGGAATGTCTCAAAACGTTAAAATCGGCAATCTTTAATCTTTCAACGAATTTAGCTTTAAGGATTCTCTGAATAAAAATTATAAAAAAGTCACTGCATTTTTCTGTGTAAATGAGCATGAAATAAATCAAAACGATAAATTCGGCGATCTCACAGCCTTCATAAAGTTTAACAGAATTTTTCCAATATTAATACTAAAAAAGTAACAGCTTTTTTTTTATGCGAGATGCTATCAGCCTTTATGTTATCATCCTTTCATCCCCACAGTGGGTCGATAAATGAGTACCAAGCATGCTTGGGAACTAAACACTGGGGGTTGGCGTTCGGCTGACCAACTAACCGGAACATCTGCTCCTGCACCCCAGAGCCCAAGATCAAGAAAACTGAGATGGGCACAGTAGGCCTTGGCCCTCTATGGGCTGTCGCGCCACTGAGTTGAGTTGAGTTTTTAGTTTATGCGAGAAATAACTCAAAATGCTAAAATAGATGATATTAAATCTTTCAACAAGTTTAGCTATCTAAATTTTCATACAGTTCTATCATTCTTTAACTCTTTTCAATCTTCTGAGCGAGCAGTTTTGGGGCTAGGTAAGCGAAAGCGAGCAGATGGATCCCCTTTCTTATATTCTATTTTATAACCGTCGTTGAAGAGCCGACCCAATTTTGGGTTTACGACAATTAATGTTCAACTCCGTAGCCTAGTAATTTTGAACCTAATCCAGAAGACAAAGAAACTCCTGGATCAAGCATTTGGAGAAATTTGCCTTCGTGGAGGACTTTCTGATGGAACTAATCCGCATCTGAGTTACATGGAGAGGAAGACCGCGAGAACCTCCCACGGTTAGCTTGACGGCAAGGGAACTCTAACCCATGATCCGTTTACCACTGAGGATATTTTACGTCAGCACAGTGGTCGGCTCGAGCCGGATGCGCGACCTTAATTATATTAAAAAAAATAATAATAACTATGTTACAAAAAGAATTTAAAAAATAAATAAAAGAAAATCCTCGGAACTGAAAGATAAAAAAATAGTGCTGAGAAAATTTTAAACAAAAAATATTAAAAAGAAGAAGAAAAAAAATTGCTTAAAACCTACCACTTTATATTATTCTTGATGAATCCAAAGAAATAGAAGTAAACAAAATATAAGAACATAAAAAACGAAAAAGAAAGCACCAACCTTTAATTTTACACCCAAATATGAAATACATTTTAGAAAATTCGGATGATAAACAAATCCAAATTCAAGCTTTTCTCAATTTTTTACGGTAAAAACTAGTAAGAAACAGTGTTTTTAAAACTTCGCGAAAAAACTGACCTACAACAACGAAGCATTAGGTTTTTGACACTTGCATGATGATGAAACATTGATTACATGATGAAACATTAGACGTCCTTATATTATAATTAACGGTATAATGATTTATTTCCATCCTTCTTAAATCTGATCCAATCGACAATTCATATATTAAACCTATTTAAATATATTTAAGCAATTACACTAAAAATATCATCCTTTAAAGTGTACTAAAATAATTAAGCATAATTGCAGAAATCAAACTCTCAACAATTTCACAAATTAAATGACTCGTCGCTATTCAGAAATTCCATGGATTTAAAATTACTTATCTTGTAATTTTACAAAAAACCCAATCCAAGTTACTTTTTTCTTCACGTTTACACTTAAAAAGAAAAGAAAAAGATTAAAAAAATTACCTTTTTTGATTTAAACATACATATACATCAATTGCATCAAAAGAAAAATCACACACTGAAAATTAAAATTTATAAGTAGTATTAGAAAACTACCAAATGGTGTCCCGCAGAAAAAGCGATCATAGCACTTCCCTCAGCTGTTATGTTACAAGACATAATTGCTATTTAATGTAACAGTTACGACTTTGGAACAGGTATATTTATGAAAGTATCTGTTAAAATATGCTTCTTACCAGTTCACAAATAACTCTGTCTCTTACGAATTTCGTAATAAAAAATAATTTGCATTTAATTAAATGAGATTATCTGTTAAATAAAAAACCATCGTTCAACAACTCTATGCGTTCAACCAAATCCTGAGTACAGTCGGTTACTTTAGAACTGTTATTGCTATTTTATAAAGCAAACTCTAGTACCTGTTACTTAAAAATAACTATTATGACCCATTTCTGAAAATGATAGTTTATTCTGAAAATAAATTCCAATGTCATTTGGCAAATACCTGGGCTTAAGTGATGAAAGATTTCAATCACTGTCAACACTTCACAGAGGTTCACCCAAGGGATTTCAACTACTCTATCACAAGCTATACTACTAAATCTAGAGTGACCATATTAATCAAATTTAATGTTATTCCAGCCAACTCACTTTTTTTTCCACGAGCAACCCATCATAAAAGTTATAGTTTTTGCCGAAAGGCCTTAGCCACTTTTTTTCTGCATCATATAGAGCACATCTTCCAACTACATAATTTCTAACTTATACATATAAACATGATAATTATTTGTTTATTAGTTCATGAATTATATTCATTAAATAAAAAAGAAAGAAAAAACAATAATTTCAATTCATAAAAAATTCATTTTACACAAATTAAAAAAAAGAAAGTATTCCGCTTAATAATTTATAACTTTTAATTGATATAAAAACAAATATTTTAATATCAAGACAAATAAAAACAGTTTTGCTTATAATTATTCACTTGTAATAGTAATTCCACTCTAATTCGATTAAAAGGCGCCTTATAAAATCATTTTAAAAAAATGACTTCTAATTAAATGGGTCGGTGAAACAACAATTTACTTTACGAACTTTCGTAAATAAAATAATTTTATTTTTACATGCTTTCAAACCATTATGATAAATAAGCAGTTATGCCTGTATGATTAAAACCAAATTAAAAAGTTAAACATATTTATTATAAAGCAAGATCTATGCCCAGTGCGGAGATCTTTTCACATATTGAATTTAAAATATGAAAGAAAAAGAGAACGAAAGTTAACCTTGAAAATAGATCTTATATATATCTGGATAATAATGATATGTAAAGGATGGGATAACCTAGTTCAGGGGTGGCGAACCTTTATACACCAACGTGCCATTTTCTCTAAAAAATTGCTTAAGGAGGTCATAGACGTGCCGTCAAATAATTTTGACTTCGTGATTATTGGGAAAATAATAATACTAAATACTATCAACTTAAAACTCTTTATTTACATTGAAAAAAAAAAACACATTTTGCAATATCTCAGTTATACGCATAACTTTCAAGTAACATTAGTGTGACTTCTGTTGTTGCAGATTAGATGACAAATAACTTATATTAAGGTTATAAGATGTTAGTTTAAGCAGGACTGTTAATTTTTCTTTTTTTGCTAGTTATTTATTGTTAGCTTATTTTTTACGGTTATTAATTGTTTTTTTAGCATTAATTTTTAATTTTTTTATTGATATTGTTTATTATTTTGTTATTTTTTTGTGAATTTTAATTTAATTGTTACATATGCTTCATAGTGTAACAACTATTGTNAGTTAACCTTGAAAATAGATCTTATATATATCTGGATAATAATGATATGTAAAGGATGGGATAGCCTAGTTGGTAGGGCGTTGGACCCATGTCCACAAAGTCGTGATTTCAATCCCCGCCGACCGACGTTGCCTCGTGTAGGAAAGTAGATTGCGACCTGTGCACGTTAAATCTGTCGGGTCACAAAAACCACAAACAAATTATACCTCTGGGGTATTGAATTGGAAATTGATCGTTCTCTAATTCAGGTTAAAATTACAATCTGTGGATGTATGAATGGGTCCGCCCTATAAACGGGCAATGACGAGTGTGTGGCTGAAGTCGTATTCT